CAGAACCAAACGGTAAAACAAATGAAATGTTAAAAAGGTTAGTAGAATATATATCAGAGCCTATTAGTTACCTCATAAATTTAGGAATGAATACGGGCACGCTTCACTCAAGTCTTAAAGTTGCCACAATAAAACCGCTATTTAAAGTAGTATTAAATATAAATTAACAAATTATGGACCAATATCAGTTACATCGGCTATTGCAAAAATTTTTGAAAAAGTCCTGCAAAAGCGTTCAGTAAATTACCTGCAAAAAATAATGTACCAAGTCTAAATCAATTTGGTTTTCAATAAAACAAATTCGCGCTATTTATAAAACAGAATGCAAAGAGTAAAAATATATGAAGTCCAGAGCAATGAAGAAACAGTAACCTGTAGGGTACCGCAGGGCATTGTATTAGGACCACTTATGTTTATTGCAGAACTTAATGCCGAATTTACTGAAAAACATAAATTCAAATAATTTGTTTATGAAAAAACTAACATTTTGGACACTTTCTAATAGATACGAAATTCACTCATTCATTAATTAAATGGTAATCTCAAAACAGCCCCATTTTTTTATTGTTGCGTTTCATACTATTTCATATCTTTACACGCACAAGCCATACCAAAATAAATAATTTTCGACAACCCTCAAATCAGAGAGCTTTTCAAAAATAAATTGAATGCTGCTGAAAATAGAGTCTAGGATTTGTTTGAAAACATATGTAACAATTTTATTGAAAATGTAGGGGACAGGAACTATCTAGAAATCGTGGACGGGATTCTTTTGTAGCACATAGCAAGATTAAAAAGTTTTTTGCACTTTCACTTATTGGGTGATATAGTCACCTGATTAAGATTTAGCACCCAAATCTATAAAAATCAACAAACATTTTCAGAGAGAGGAAAACAAATTTTTGCAGGTGTGAATCGATAGTACTAGTCTACGATTCCAGATAGCTAGTTGATTTTGGATGTGCAGTGATCTAAGCGCCGTCCCTTCACTGTAAGCAGTTTGTTCATCTCTGTCCCACACTGGCGATATTTTTTCTTATTTTGCGCAGCCAACTACCAAACTAGAATCGTAGAGTAGCATATGAGAAGCAGAAATATCGTTTCATGAAATAGCTCGAAAATGAAATCGAAAGAATATTCTTCGAATGCGTGATCTAATGAATATATACAAAGACGACGTCGAGAATCTGGACGTCTTCGTATCAGTAGTGATTGTAAAGATAGATTTCGTCAACTCTTGATCTTTAGAGACCAATATTAAACAAGATCAGTAGCTGTTGTTTGGATTGGAACAAACGGTCACAATCTTTATGGACACCATTCATCGCAATTCCAAATCCTTCCATTAAAAGCAACGCACAAGGCTGCGAGATTGTAATGGTACATAGTAAGATGAGGAACAACATTGTGTTCATAAATAATTCTAGATTTTGTTTGTGAGTTAATAATGGGAGGAGAAGAGTAAGACACCGTGCTTAGAGAAGAAAGATTAAATTTGGAATTTACTGAATGGAGACTTACACCAGATGCCATGATTTTGGGTGCAATTTGTTGTGGTCATCGATGGCCTTTAGTATTCATTCCTGGTGCTCTTCGTTACCATTATACACCTGACATGGCCTGTGCTGTTATTCTTTATGGAGACCTTCCTAACGCCATATTCCAACAAGATAATGCAAGATCCCATACAACAAACATTACCAAGAGGTTCTTAGAGGCAACGGAGATACAGATCTCACCTTGACCCGTCAGATCTTGAGACTTATCACCCATGGAGAGTATATGTGTGGAACTTGATGGGGTGATTATTGATAATTACTTCGGCCAACGGACAATTTAGAGGAACTCCGCCACTATCTACAACTTACAAGTAGTCTGGAATCAGTCTTGAATCAAATTGATCATATTATTTTGGATATGCCTAAATGAATCAGTGTATGTACACATAACAGGGGTGACGTAATTCGTTATTAAAAATTTACTACTGGTGTTTGTAATTTTTTATTTCATTTGCAGCTTGTCTATAGATCAATAATTATACAAAGATTCAAGGACATAAAGTTTATTTCAAACTTATTTGCAACATAAAAATGTCGCCTTCATTAAAGGCGATAAAGGGATTAAACTCATCGATATTTTTTTATGTTACAAGTAAGTTTGACATGAACTTTAGCTTTATTACTTGATCATTAAGAAATATTTATATTGTCTTTTTAGACCGATTCTTTTTCAAGAACATCTCGTTTACTTTTATCATGCTTTATTCTAATACATATTTTTATATCTGTTGTGTTTATAATAAATCACAAATAACGTACGCACGAATAAAATATAAGCAGTATATTCTTTGTTATGTTTATTTTAAACAGTTGTATTATGTAGATACATTAATTTTGAATTTACCAAAATTTAAGTCTACATTTTATTTAACATTCGGATTAATTTAATGGTGAGATTCCTGATGATATTGAAACAAATGCATAAAAGCAAAATTTAACAAAACCGAATTGGATTAAAAACTTTATTAGTAGAACATTATAATTTAACAAAACATGAATTTTGATTGAAAATACAAAAATGTTTGATATGCAAAATAATGTTTGTACAAAATTGTTGTTTTTAACTATCATTTACGTGATAGGTATACAATATGCACCATGTTTTAATATAATTTAAATGCATTTTTATACACATTTTTTTAATAATATTTATAATTAAATATTGCACAGAGCATTGATAATTTAAAACCACTTTGACTATTATTGCATGTTGTATAATATTTTGTAGAATTCTGAAAATGGTAAAATAAAGTTACTATCAGGATAAGTTTGGCCTAACATGATCAATAGTAATACATATATGTATGTTTATTTTCATGTGGATTGATTAAATACTGTAATCAATCTGTTCGAATTCTCTGTGCTGAATTATGTATATTTAAAATATTACCATATTAACCAGCTTTAATCAGTAATCACTTTAATCTCGAATACGTTATTTGAAATATAAATACTCCAAGTAAAGATTTACATTTTAATATTTAAATAGTTTTCCTTCTTGTCTGCCTGTGTAAATGTTTTGACATTCTTCAATATAACAGTGTCATCTGTTGAAGGGCATGAACATGTAAAGCGAAACCTTTGAAATATTAAAAATCTAATTATCTTCACTTTGAATGTGTTGGTAATGTGTCATACTAAACACTAAACCTTCTACTGTACCTGACAAAAAAACTTATATCGATATTTCACATGAAAAATAACAGAATTATGCAAATGAATTTTGTTAACTACATTTTCTGTTACAAAGCGAATGAGAACAATATCCAACAATTTAATTTTTTACAATTCTATAAAAAAATATTAATCAGGAAAACATTATACAAAATCCTTTGAAAATCTATTGCATTATTTTGCGAAATATGTTTTTTAAACAGTTACTGTTATTTGTGCATGAGTTATTTATATTACAAACGAAATTCAACATTCACGAAATATACAGGTATTTTTATTTCCAAAAGTAACTCATTTACTTAAAAAAGCAAAGCAGAGTAATTAATTTCTAAACATAGGGCAATTTCCGAGAATCCCTGAACCGGCTTCCCGATGGGCCTGTCTAAGGACTAGCTATGCATGCGCAGCGAGATCTAGTATTCCCTTAATTCGCATTCAGATTCAGTTCATCTACAAACGTCACAGTGGGTAGATGACTGGCGCGAGGATAAAAATAAATAGTAACAACTATGTCGACAGTATCACGGAGAAGGCAAAAAAATCAGTACGTGTAGATAATAAGATATTCTTTATTTATCCATAGATAGATAGTATGTACATAAAGAAAATAATAGATATAAAATTAATAGTTACAAACTAGTACTAGTTTACATAATACAGACATATAATATAGAAAAAAAACCTCAAGCAACTTCAATTTGGCTGATATGCATTATCTTTTATAAAATATAAAAGTTGGTTAACGGTATTACTAGTCTTAATTATGTAAGGAAGAAGATTGAATTGTACAACTCTTTTGTGGAACAGACTTCTCATTGTACTACTCCTAGAAGTTCTTTTAACATAATAGTTATTTGCACTAGCCGTTCTTATGTTACACAATTGTCGTGTGAGATACTGTTATGAAATGTTATTAATCATTTTGAAAATAAATGTCATAGTTTGGAAGAAGAGGAACTGTTTAATGTTAAGCCATTTTAATGTATTAAGCATTATCTGACAGCTAGTGAAGCGATTGCATCATAGTATTATTCGCATTGCCTTATTTTGGAGAACCTGGAGTCTACTAAAACTTGTACAATTTGTATACAACACAGAACAGCAATAAAGAAAATCAGGTAGTATTAAGGTATTATACACAGCTAGTTTAGTAGTAGTTGTTGATATAAATGGAGCCACTTTGCTAAAAAATCCGATCTTTTTGCCGATTTTCTTTGATATATATTCTATATGTTTGTTAAATTTCAGTTCACGATCAATTATTAGGCTTAGATACCTTATTTTCTGAACAATTTCAACTTTTTTACTATTTAACGCGATACCAAGATTTAGACTAGCAAACTGTTTATATAGATAATTATTGATCTTAAATTTTCTGTCAATAATTTTAATTCTAAATTAACAGTACTTACCATTTCCTCAAAATTTGTACTCTCATAGTAAATAAGAGTGTCATCAGCAAAAAGATGGATTTTACATGTTTGCAACACATTGCCAAGGTCATTAATATAAAGAATAAATAATAATGGACCCAGTACACTGCATTGAGGAACCCCAAAGTTGTTTAACTTTGCTTCTGATAAATTCCCATTCATTTTTGTTACTTAGTACCTATTTGTTATATAACTTGTAATCCAGTCTATAATGGTGTTCTCAAATCCAGATTTGTGTTGACGAAGCCATGGATACCAAGGAACATACAATCATTAATGTTAATACACCTCCACTATTATTATGTAGTAAACGGGTGTTGAAAACCGAAGCTGTGGCTTCGTGGTTGAGTGGTAAGGACGCTTACCTCCCACCCAGGAGTGCCGGGTTCGATCTCCGGTCGAGGAACTAGAATTTTTCTAAACCAGTAATTAATCCTAGTATACTCGGGCATCTGGTGTGTGTCCATTCTCTCTAAATGTGTAGCCCTCTCCCCCATAAGATACCTTGAGGTACCTTCAGGGATACAAGGGGTTGTATTAGCTGTGGTGATTAATTAAAAAAAAAAGCGCGAACAGTTGAGAAAATAGTGGTAAATACTTTGTGTAATGTTAAAAGTGAAAAGTTATTTAGAATGCAATTTGTGCCTACCTACCAAATTTTAGGAATTTAAATTCACTTCATTGGAGAGACAAAGTGAGTGATAATTGTATCCCTCCTGTGGTCAGAATAAGACTTACAGGAAACAACTACTCAGCGGGCAAAAACCCCGACCTGCATTGAATTAAACCTGCAAGTATTGTTTGGTAGCTAAAATCATTTGTCAATTTCTCACTAGAGATAGACCAGTTTCGAACTTGTTATGTTTTCGTCAGTATGCCATAAGTAATGGAAAAGACAAATATTAATAGCAAACCAGGCTAGCCTAATACAGACTAAGCAAGCACACATAGTGAGTGATAAGTGTATCCCTCTGGTGGTCAGTGCTACTACTCGTCAGACATCATTGATATCTTAGTGACTAATGGCGACCTGCAAAGCCGGTACTAGGAGCTATGACTTCTAACCCTGGTGGGCTAGAGGTCACAGCTGGTAGGTTAGAGGTCACAGATCTTAGTAGCTCCTTTGCAGGTCGCTATCAGTCATTAAGATATCAATGATGTCTGACGGGTAGTAGCACCGACCACCAGAGGGATACGCTTATCACTCACTATGTCTGTCTTGCTTAGTCTAGGCCAGCCTGGTTTGCTATTATAATTTGTCTTCTCCATTACTTATGGCATTCTGACGAGAACGTAACAAGTTCGAAACCGGTCTATGTCTAGTGAGGAATTGACAAATGATCTTAGCTAGCAAATAAGACTTGCAGGTTTAATTCAACACAGGTCGGGGCTATTGTTCGCTGAGTAGTTGTTTCCTGTAAGTCTTATTCAGGATACTTCATTGGAATTGTCACCTTTTCACTGGTAGTCAATTTTTTTGTTGAAAATGAGATAATACGGTAACAACAAAAGTTATTCATAATAGTAATTTATTTTAGAAAGGATATTTGTGATTTCAGAGCACTCTCAATTTGCAAAAATGCAGAAATCGAATATTTTAACTCAATCAAAATTGACCTCTTCCTTATTTATATATAAAAATATAGTTTTACACATATTTTAATTTTTCTAAGTGATCAGTTCCCATAATATCTTTGCTGCTTACTGTCATTTGAATAAATCCATTACCTGTCTGTACACACATTCTCATGTTTATATTTTCCACAAAAAAAGAAACTCCAACAGCAAGATCGATGGAGAAGGCATTACATGCGCCTAAAATGTTGAAGAGCTCGTTGTGTATAAATTTGAGCCCTCATATATCTTGGTGGATATTGTAGCCAAGTGCTATTATTACACCCGAAAAAATGTAATGCTTTCACCACACTTTGTAAAAAGCAAAGAAACCCGGAAATGAGGAAATGTGGCTTTCAATACTTTTAAATTGCTTTATGGTTTCTCAATAACATTATTGCCAGCTATTCTCTATCTAAAAGGCAGTTTATATGCTACTGGGGAAGAACCCTTCTTTTAGAAACATAACTCCAAGCGAAATTTACTGCACGATTTTTTTTATTAGCACGTTAGATGGGACATAAAAATTTTACAAATGTTTATGACTAACTTCTACTGATTAAAAATACGTAAAATTTCAAGTTGGGTTTATTTTAATAATCATCTGTTATTCTGGTAATTATTATCTACGAGATGTAATTAAAGTACGTTTCAAAGACAAATTAATCTATATTCTAGGAAATAGGTTCCAATATGTGCAGTATTACAACTTGAAATCCAATTTAATAGATACAAATATTGGCATACCACAAAGTCCAGTATTGGGACAACACTGCTCCTTCCTTACATCAATGATTTTCCAAACTGTACATCTTTGCCTAATTTTACTTTCTTGCTAATTTACCCAACAATAACTCACAATAACCAAGATATCTGTCAATCTATCTATTTATAAATAAGTGAAGCATTAAGCACTAGTTAATTGAAAAGTGTTCGAAATGTATCCAATATTTCCCCCAGAAGTTCTACTACAGGAAAAGTAAGGGGCATCCTTAATATGAATGTCCATTATAAATCCTTCCCATGTCTGTAGGTTTATCACGATCTGGCGGACATAGATTAGATATCTTTATGTATCTCCTGGTATACAAATATAAAAGGATACATAACTCGCATTAGATATCCTATATGGAGAATGGCAAGGATATCCTAGATGAATGTCTCTAGATATACTAGAATAAAATCATTAAAACAAATAACAGCCCAAGTCTATGGACATGAGGATTTAATATTGATCAAAAATGGCTACCATATGTATTGCCTGAATTGTTTGGAACATAATTGAAATGGAGTTTGCGATACGATAAATAAAATACTTTTGGTAGCAGAAAGAATGGAGCAATAATAACAAGGTGTCAAAGAAATTGATACTGTTGTAGCTTGTGCGTTTTAAAATTTACATTGTACTTATATCTGAAATTTTATCAACTAAAACAATGTGTGAGTATTACATTATAAATTAATATTTATAAAATTTAACTGAATCTCTATTTAATTATGGATTGGTAATATGGAGAATGCCATATGAATCAACCTATAACTTAAACACTAAACTAAAGTAATTTTGACCCAAACAATATGAGACCGAGTCTTTAAGAAAGCTCGTTTGTTTGATTTGCATAGTTTTTATACATATATCAGCATTGAATTTTATTTAGAAAAAGACATGCGCCCTGGTCCGAGTGAAGAATGGAATGAGATGGATATACGCCGCAACGTATTGGCTGTTTTAATAAAATTTAATCTAAACTCCTCTTTTCGAGTCTCTGACGAAATCACATTGCGCTGCCACAGAATATGTTCTGTAACGCTACTCTGCAAAAGTCCGTGAGCGCTCCCCATTATATTAATCGTATATCTCTTAATTGTTTCCTATTTACTATTTTTTTAGATTTGGGTATAAGTGCTATTTTCTGGCAGGTAAAACTAAATTCGGCAATTCCCTGTTTCTTTATCAAAGTAGAATAATAAATAAGATGACTGAATCGATAGCATAAGCTTGATATTTGGCAGCACTACAAATACAATTTGGTTCTATTAGATATTTATTCTTTTTCCATTTATGTTCTGCGCATTTATATTTCTGTTTATGTAAATTTTTACTATTGCAAAAATATCTTTGAACGTTTTGGATATTTTTATTGAATTACAGAGACTGCATTATAGAAAAAAAATTGAGATAAAGCGTAAAAAGTTGCTTTGTATACTCGGTCTGCCAATGAGATGCATATAATAGGGCGTGTAGTGTTTCATTAAAAATTGGTTCAGTTATTGTTTTTGTACTGCCGCAACGATAGAATAAAATTTCCATAGAAAATGAGCACGAATGCGATATATAGAGTAATATTTCATCACTTCTGAAGCATGCAAAGCTTGAAAAATTTAGAAGCCTCCATATAAAGCTCCAATTATTTAAATTCTCCACACAAAAAATAGATCCTATAATAATATATTCAATTATCACGGCTTGCATAAAATTTTCAAAATTACTTAATATTGTGTACGACAAATTATCAAAAATGAAAAAAAAAATCTCTAAAATAGAGAAATATTAATAAAAAATAATTTGCTTCCATTATCAGGGATCGGATTCACTTTGTATGGTACATACACAAAGTGACAAGATTTCGTTCATAACTTACACTCATTTTTTAGTTATTTGTTATTAGAAATGTGTCTATTTAATTACATTTAATTTATGTAACTTTCATATTGACTGTTTAAATAAATCTGAATGTATCCAAACAGCACGTAGTCATCCAATGGACGTACAATGTATCAACGCAAAAAATTATGAGACATCCACTGGGTATCCATTATGTGACTTAAAAACAAACAATGAATGTCCAGCGAAAGTCCTAATATTACAAAGAGTTCAATGGACGCCACAAGGTCCAGTGGACGTCGCCCAACACATCCTGATGATGCTGGATGACATCGTTTTAAAGCATGTTTTTCCAACTAAATACATTACTGTTAGGACTTTTGGGACACTTGTGTTTACTGGACTCAACACCACAACTGATTCCAGTTCTCACCTACTTTAGAAAGATGGAAAAGAAGAGCTTCACCTTATTTGCTTCATTGTGATATTTTTAGTGTAGGCTCAAAAAGCAAGCGCACTCCTAAACTGATGAATTTTTAGAAAAAGAGTGTTTTCTTGGCTACACAAGTTTGAGTGATTTAACTTTCAACAAATAATTGATTACCTTATTAGTGGTTTTAAACTTAAAGTAACATGAAATCTCTTATATTCCCATTTTATTTACTTTATATTTGTCAACAACACAATGGAGGGCGACAGTTTGTACGTTTATCCTCGAGCTGGAGGTGATCTTAAAAATTGTCGGAGTTGTGTAAAGCGATCTCGGCTGTGTTCGTATATTAATGCTTCTAAATATGCACCATATACAATGACTGCCTAGTTGTACAAAGTGGTTGAATATTTGATTGACCGGTCTCTCTATATTGATATAGAGGAGATAATCCTATAAAGAAAATCACGAGAATAATAGAATAAAACAATAAAATATTTTAGGCTATTTTGTTTGTTTTAATCTTGCTCTTCGTCTACCCTCTTTATAATGCACACATTATACCATGATGTGTCGTCCATAATTTTTCTATTGGACTTTCTGATATGAACATCCAGTGATCCACCGAACGTATTAATAATAATAATAATAATAATAATAATATTTATTATTATTATCACCGGAACGTCTCAATGGTAACGAACGCAATGGACAAGGACGCTTTAAGTGGACGAGGGAACTTCGGGATGACTTGCTGACC